AATAAACGCTGAACTCTTAGAGGGAGCCGTGCTAACAGGTGAGTGTGGGAGCTGGGCCCCAGGGTAATGGTGCCGGGCTTACTCTGACTACACGGGAAGCACTGTGGGGTTTTGAGCAGAGGAAACGTGTGGCTCAACCTCTGCTGTGTCCAGAACAGAACGTGGTAGGTCAGAGGCGGAAGCCGGAGTCTGGTGAGGAAGCTTTTGTCGTACCCAGGTGAGAGACGGTGATGGCGTGGGTCAAAGAGATGAGCGCAAAGACAGTGGGAAGCAGGCACGTGGTGAAGGCTCCTCTGACGGCATCTGATGACAGATCAGGTGTCAGGCAGAGAGAGGACGAGGGAGCTTTGGGATAAGACCCAGGACTTTGGCTCTAGCCGCTGGAAAATGCAGTGGGCACTTCCGTCGTGAGAAGAACTGCCGTGGGTCTGTGGTGGCTGTCAGAGGTTCAGCTTTGGAGGTGTGAGTGTTGCGGTGGGTGGGCCATTGGAGATGTGGGTTTGGAGTTCAAGGGCGGGAGTCCTGGTGAGCCATGTATTTGGAATAGTCTGTGAAGTGATGAGAGTGGACAGCGTTGCCAGGAGGACATGTGCACATGGAAGAGAGGTAGAGGGCTGTGTCCTGGGGCTGCAGGAACTTTTAGAGGGGGAGCACGTGGGGAGAAACCAGCAGGAGAGAGGGAAGAAGGGGCAACCAGTGTGGAAACATCCTGGGAGCCAGGCAGACTGTTCCAAGGTAAGAGGGATCAAAATTTTTTTTTTAAGATTTATCTTATTTATTTGAAAGACAGAGTTTCAGAGAGGTAGAGCCAGAGGGAGAGAAAGAGGTCTTTCATCCACTGGTTCACTCCCCAAATAGCTGCACTGGCCAGAGCTGAGCCGATCCGAAGCCAGGAGCCAGGAGCTTCTCCCAGGTCTCCCGCACGGGTGCAGGGCCCTAAGGACTTGGGCCATCTTCTACTGCTTTCCCAGCCCATATCAGAGAGCTGGATTGGAAGTGGATCAGCTGGGACTCCAACCGGCACCCATAAGGCATGTGGGCACTGCAGGCAGTGGCTTTATCCACTGTGCCACAGCGCCGGCACTCAAATGTTTTTGACAGCTCAAGTTGGGCAAGAACTGAGAAATGACCAGTGACCTTGACAACACGGGAGTCACTGATGGTTTCCAGTGGCTCCCAGCAGAGGCTTCCTGTTGAACCAGCACTGCCCTGTAGTGGATGTACTGTGAGGAAGTCTCAGGCATGCCAGGGCATGGTGCCAGAGACCTGGGCAGCGGCGGGTCTCTGTTCACCAGCTCCAGTGGACGTAGTCCATGAGCTCAGCAACAGCGTGGCCCCAACTCTGCGTATCAGCTGGATGTGAGCTCCAGTGATACAGTTTGTTCCTACAAGCCTTAGCAGGCACACTCAGCTCTCTCTGCACCCTTTTAAGTAGTGAGAAGCCATTTCAAATGGAAACAAAAAGAAACATTCATGGGCAGGCTTCAGGCTCAAATAAGTCTGCAGGAAACAGCTGCTCCCCCGTCTCTGAGTGGATGTTCCCCTGGGACTGGCTTGGGTCTCTCCAGCCCTTCCTATCACAATGACATTGATCGTCCTGCAGGTGCAGCCCATCAGTCACACATGGGTTCCACCACACGTTCCACGTGCCCTGTCCTAAAAACTGTTGTACAAATTCCAAGGCTGGTTTTCACACACCCAGGCTGGCTTTCCTGCTCATCACAGAACCAAGCAAAGACTTTCACTCCAAGCTCAGGGTGGTAGAGACCCTCCCCTGATTCGGGAGGTGAGGTCAGTCCCACCCAGCAATGTGGATCATGAGGATGGGGATGTGGATTCCTAAAAGAGCCAAGATTCCGTTGTTACAAGACAGGTGGGCACGGAGGCGCCCGTCAGAGCAGGTGGCCATGCACTATCCCACGCAGAGAGGACTCCTGGGGACCGCCATACTCGTGGACCGCACATACACCCCCTTTCTCGCTCCCTGGGAATAGCACCACATCGACTGTCAGATGAGTGACCTCACTAAGCCCTAGCGTCTCCACAGGTTGCCTTCTCATCCATATATAATATAGCAGCACTCAGAGACCTTGTGGCCGTGGCTGCGACAGTGAGTGGCACTCGGTCCTCTCCTAGTCGGTTGGCCTCTGGGTCTCCCTCCACACTGCCGAACTTCTGTGTTCCTCCTTCAGATAGGAAGAGGAAGGACACAGAAGGGACAACAGGAAGCACACAGAATAGAGGCTGTGGCCACTAAACTGGGGGCCCACACAGAAATGCTTCCCAGGAAGGCAGCTCTGTGGTGGAGTAGATCTTTGGAAATTGCGCCTCACGAATCAGTAGGTTGCTGCTGGCCCTCCTGTAGGTAGGGGGACAGCTGGGGATTGCGTGATTGTGTTTCCATGGCGATTCTGTCTGCTGTCAGTGCTGGCTGAGACCACCGGAGCAGGACCATTCCAGGACCGTTCTGTGTCCTGCCTTGCACAGACCCCGCGCAGCTCCAAGCGTGGAGACCCTTGGAGAAAGCTGTACGTGGAGCTCCAGGGCGACATTCAGCTCAGCTCATGCAAGGTCTTGAGAAGAATGAGATCACCGAGCGCGTGGAGAGCCTGTGCCGAGGAACCAGCCACAGGCTGTGGGATCTGGCAAAGCGTCCCAGGTTCCCAGTAGATTGCAAGGCCTTTGCTTCCTTTTAGAATAGCCCACCACGTGCTTGGCACATGTTCATGGACAACCGATTACGAACAGACAGTGGTCCCTGCTCTTTGGCGTCTCCCCCCCTTCTCAGCCCTTCTCTCACCAGCCAGCGCTGGGGCTCAGGAGAGCACCTGGTGGCCTCAGCCTTAGGAGAGTTGGGCTCACCATTGCCATGTACGTGGAATGCGTGGGGGCATGCTCCATGCTGACGGCCAGGGGCAATGCCCAGTCCATAGAATGAGTCTTGGAACCTGCCCAGCTGCTTGCTGGACACTGTCAGGAATGTGCACGTCTCTTTCCAGAAGCAACTACATTGTGCCCTTCGGAGGGTTATGACCTGGCCCGTGGCGCTCAGCCTATGCTGAAGATTTTTCTTGTCTCCAGTCCCTGCTCCTGGTTATATATTTGACCCTCTTTGGATGCCATCTCTATGTGGGGGAAGCCAGAGATTTTGGGGACCAGAATTCCAGCGACAATGGTTGCCTCCATGGCTGTATGTCAAGGAGTTTACCTGGGCCTGGATCCCAAGTAGAAAATACTTGGAAACCCTGGATGAATCTGAGCTCTCTAACTCACCCGTGTTGGCATGGTTTGACCTCTGTGGGGTGCAAGGCTTGGCAGATCTACAGGGCCTTCCCACATGAAGCTATATAGAGTCCCCAGACAAGGGCCACTCCACGCAGTCACACACAGACAGGCTCTGTTGAGGGAGAGAGGGGCCCATCCAGAGAGGAGACGCAACAGCAGAAGGTACAAGGATGGGGCTGGGGCTTGCGAGCGTGTGTGTGCATGAACAGGGACATCCTTACACTTGAAAGTTCTCTGTGCCCTTACAAAATGTCCCGACACCAAGCAGCCCTTTGAAAAATCATGCCGTGTTCTTTTAAAGGAAGAACAAATGGACACGCTCAGTGCTGGAGTCATCTCGTTACTCCAGACTACTCTGAAATGAAAAGACAGGAAACAGTCACTTTGGGTGTTACATCATCTTTCAGGGACAGATAACAAGAAACAGGTTCTTGTGAATTTTGTTTTTTCTGGAACATACTTTCTCAAGGCAGTGAATACCAACCTTGTCCTGGTCTAAAGGGTAGTGGGTACCCAAAGCAGCTATCTGCTTTGTTTAAAATACGCACAGAGCTTTGCAGATTAGAATGTTTATGGTGGTTCTCAGCAGGGATGGGGGTCCCACATTTTCACTTGCTTCTCTGTAGACATTTCTTAGGGAAGCTAATGTGGCCTGGCTCGGTTACGTTGCTCCTCAACCATCTCAGGTCATACTGAGCCCAGGATTTAGGAAACAGAGAAATACAAGGTCAGGTTGCCTGCTGAGTTCTCCCTCTGTCCAGCCGCTGTTGGACTCAGCATACATCCTCGAATGAACCTGAAGGAACCTTCCACAGCCCTGGTCTGACATGCTGACCCTTGTGCCATGGAAGCAAAAGGTGCCTGTGGGGAGTCGGTGCCGTGGCACAGTGGATAAAGCTGCCATCTGCAGTGCTGGCATCCCATATGGGTACCAGTTCTAGTGCCGGCTGCTCCACTTCCCATCCAGCCACCTGCTAATGCACCTGGGAAATCAGCTAAAGATGGCCCAAGTCCTTGGGCCCCTGGTACCCAAGTAGGAGACCCGGATGAAGCTCCTGGCTCCTGGCATCAGCCCAGCCCAACCCTGGCCAATTAGAGCCATCTGGGGAATGAGGCAGTGGATGGAAGATCTCTCTCTCTGTCCCTCTCTGTCTCTGTAACTCAGCCTTTCAAATAAGTATGGGGGAAAAAAAAGGAAGGAAGGAAGGAAGGAAGGAAGGAAGGAAGGAAGGAAGGAAGGAAGGAAGAGTGAATCAAGTGATGAGCAGCCTGCTGGTTCCAGGTTACACCCTGCTGGGCCACCTCCAGGAAACTGGGGGCATTCAGAGAGAAGCTATGCATTTTCTTTTTATTTTAGCATCCTGCTTGGGAGTCTGTAACGATAGTCCGAGAGCAGTAGTTTTGGACGAGTTCAGCAGGTGCAGATGAAGGTCCCTTTCCTCCCGGAATGCCTTCAATGTGAGCGATGTTTGAGGAAGTGCAGCTCTGGGCTGCCTGGCTGCGGGAGAGCCTCGCTCTAAGCTGGCCGGTGCGTCTCATAGGTGAGCCCTGGGCAGATGCACAGGATAGGTTTACTGTTGCGTGTGGCAGTAAGGCTGTTTGTTTTAAAGTTGTATTTACAAAGTAGAAGTTCACAAGGAATTGTAAAAATAGTACAGAGAGGCCCCCATGTATTCTTTATTATTTAACTCTCCTCAATGAAAAATCAAGACATTGACATTGGTATGTGTGTGCGTAAGTCTTTGTCCTTTTATTTCGTGTAAATTGTGCACCCATCACCAAAATTGAACTACTCAGCTCACACCACAAAGACCCCTCCCACACTGCCACTCTTCTCACATCCACCCTTACCCTTACCCCTTATTTTTCATCTGAGACGCTTGTCATGTAGAGAATGTTCCAGAAAGAGTATCATGCAGTGTATGCACTTCTGGGATTGGCCCGGGCGGTTGCACATGCCGACACCGAGTTTCTTCTCATTGCCAAGTAGAAGTGTGTGATACGAATATTGCAGAGTGTGTTGATTGTGCACTGAAGGACATTAGATTGTCCCCAGTCTGGGGCTGTGACATGCGGAGTGGACCACTGGCATTTGACTCAATTGTTGAAATGTCCGGGGCCTAAGTCAGCCACTGTCCATTGAATTTTCCTTGTGGCTGTTGTCTGTGCCCCTGTTTTCCTTCTCCTGGTATCCGTACACTGCAGAAATATGTGTGAAAATTAGACTTGGTCTAGGGTGTTGTTTGTGCTCCTCTATGGAAATTTCTGGTGCCAATTCTAGTTGCTTGACGGGAGTCATGGTTTGCACATAACTTAGCAGGGACTAAGATTTGAGTGATGTGTGGCGACTGCAAGCCTTTTCAGTCTTAACGTCTACTCTTACGTCTTTAGTTGTCTATAATATATAATACACATACACCACAGTCAGTCTCTGACATGTTTCCTCTCTACACGTTTTGGAAAGCCGCATCAAAGACTTCGGCCGCACACAGATGGCCTCCAGTGAGGAAGGGAGAAGTGAAGAACTTGGGAAGCCAGTCTGGGTGGTGGCCAGCGCCAGGGGGCGCCTGGCTTCCGGGAGCTCCCCCTTGCTGCTGCGTCTCCTCCTCTTCTGAGCCATGAGCTACTCTGTTGACTGTAACCTGGGGAACGGAGACACAAGAGGCTGAGGCAATTGCTCCAGGTCACAAAGGCCAAACCCAGCGAGCGAGCGAGCGAGCACAGTCACAGTGGGGCCACCCAGGGCACCCCCGGAAACGTAAGCATGGACAAAGTTTTCCTTCTACTGGAGACTAAAGAAAACCCGTGGCTTTCCTAGCAGGTCCTTTTATTACAACTTCCAGAAGCCAGGAGTGATACTCAGAGTGTTTGAGAGTATAAAGGAATGTCAGCCTCGAGTCTGCCTTGAAAGATACAGACAGACAATGCAGATGATCCCTGTTTGACTTCTGCTGGTGCGTCCTGGCTTACAGGGTGTCTACTCGAATGGATTCTGGGGCAAGGCGAAGCCTACTGCCTGGGTTTTTCTGGGTCCTGGTGAATTTCACCTCAAGCAGACAGTGCCCAGGGCGAGAATGGCAGAGAGATGGCTTCCTGCCTTCCCAGCACCCCGTCAGCAGCCAAGCCAGGACGGGACTGGGAACAGACCAGACTGCAGGCAGGGAGGGGTGGGCTGTGATGGCGCAGGGCTCGGGGAGGGGGGGTCCTTCCTGGGGCATGGGTGCAATCTGCAGTGGTTGTGCTTTTTCTCAGCTTCGCTTCGTTTGCTGGTCCTTTTGCATCCCTGAGACGGAAAAGCTAACTCTGTAGGAAAAACGTCTCGAGGTGGAGGAACTGGAGTGGACCGCATCCAGATAACCAGTAGCACCCTCTGCCAGGATCCCATGTCCCTGCGTGGACTCCACCCCTGTGGGCCAGAGATGAAGCATCTCTGCCAGTGGCTTGTCTCCCTCGGGGACGTGCCCAGGGCCCGACTAGAGAGGTGGCCCCTGAGCTGCGGTCACCGTGTCTCCACCTGCCCATCCCGGACACGACCGCCTCCCTGGTTTTCAGAAGGGCTCCTGATCAATCCCTTCCGACATTGAATGAGGAGAAACACGTGGAGGGCAGGACTCGGGGAAACTGGCTCCTGATAGATTTCTTCATAGATGTGCGCTAGGCCTTCCAGCAGTTCATGGGAGATGAAATTAAAGTATGCTTATTTGATGTCAAAGATTTTAGAATCCAGGGGTTGTTTTTTTATAGTATGCATTTCCCATGAACTTCGAAAAGACCCCCTCATTTAAATGTGTGAAGGCTTCTATACGTTATATGAAGACACGTATCAGAAATGAGTTTTTCCAAAAATACCCGTTAGCACAATATTTCCCGAAACGCAGCTCTGCCAAGGGATCAATCCGAGGTGTGTTAGGACGTTTCAGTCACACGGGCGCTCATGACAGAACTGTTTTCGTTAGTCAAAACTTGGAAATGGCGTAAAGACCCAACAGCAACTTACAATTATGTATATGCCTCAGAGTCAGCATCCTGGAGATGCTTCGAGTTATGCTAATTAAGACCATGTGACAGCGGCGGGTTCAAAGCAAGACAGAAATGGCGTGGCTGCCGTAAGTGTGACCACATCCAGACACAGGGACAGAGAGCGGCGCTGTGGCGCAGCAGGTTAAGCTGCTGGTTACACTGGTATCCTGTGTCGGGGCACTGCCTCCAGCTCTGGCTGCTCCCTGCTAATGCTGCTGGGAAAGTAGTGGAGGATGGCCCAAATGCTTGGGCCCCTGCTACCCCCATGGGAGTCCAGGATGGAACTCTGGGTCCTTGGTTTCAGCCTGGGCCAGTCCCAGCTCTTGTGGCCATGTAGGGTGTGAACCAGCGGGTGGCAGATCTCTTTCTCTCGCTCTCTCTCTCTCTCCCTCTCTCTCTCCCCCCTTCTCTTTTCTCTCTCTTGCTCTTCCCTTTCTATAACTCTGCCTTTCAAATAAAGAGAATAAACCTTTTAAAAAGCATGCAAACACAGAGGAAAGACAGTACTAATTTGGGCCCAAGACACTACCTGCCTATACTCAATGGCAATATATGTATCCATCCCCGTGGTGTGGCTTTGTCCCCTACCCAAGACTAAGTGCCATCTGCTCTCCTGCCAACCTGCCAAGTTCTGAGACTGCTGACCTCCCAACATCCCAGTAGAACAAGGCCCTATTTGGGAGCTGGGAGGGGTCTTGAAATGCCAGTAATAATGCAAATGAGAGTTTGCTGAAAGCATTGTCTGCTCAGGCCCCAGGCTATAGCAGAGGGGTCCCGGGGCAGCAGTGAGATGGACACTCATTTCCCAATGCCTGTGTGCGTGTGTGTGTGTGTGTGTGTGTGTGTGTGAACATGCAGAGAAGAGAGAAACATGTGCAATGGCAAGGGACCAAGGCCCTGAAATCAACAGAATCACAAAGCAAGGAGGTAGGGAAAGAAGTTTATGGGCTTGACTGCAGGAACTAACTGTAGCAACAGCCAGGTCCTCCATCTCCTGTACACGCAGCCCGCAGCCCTCTTCCACCCCTCCCTTCTGCCTTCCTGCCTCAAGGTCGGGGTCCCAGGTCACCTCCAGTCTTCCTGGGAGTCCTTGGCCAAAGAGTTAGGTGAGACCAGACTGGAAAAGATGGCCTTTCTCGGCGTGGCCGCGGCCATGTTCTTGATTTTGTTCAGCTTCTCGCGGGCCTGCTGGCATTTCCTCAGGCAGTTCGCGCACAGATCCTTCTCCTCCACCAGGAATACGTTTTCCAGCCTCTTGATGGAGTCGGAGAATATTTTGGATTCCTCCGCCTTCGGGAAGGGGTTCCGCTTGGTGTTGAGCTTCTTGAGCTTGGGGAGCTTGGAGATGCTGGCGGGGATGGAGCTGAGCAAGTTGTCGTGCAGCCCGACCTCGTGGAGCTCCTTGAGGGCCCCCAGCGTGGTGGGCACGCTGTCCAGGTGGTTGAGGCCCAGGTTGACGGTGCGGATGTTCTTGAGCTGGTTCAGCTCCACGGGTAGGCCGTTGGTGGTGAGCCTGTTGTTGCTGACGTTGAGGTAGAGCAGGGTGGTCATCTGGCCGATGGACTCGGGGAGCTTGTCGATGTAGTTGCTGTGCAGGTCCAGCCAGCGCAGGTTCTGGAACTTGGAGATGGAGTCCGGGATCTTCCTGATCAGGTTCCGGCTGAGGTCCAGCTCGTCCACGTCGTTGAGCCGCAGGATGCACTTGGGGAAGGTGGTGATGCCCATCTTGCTCAAGTCCAGGCGCTTGCGGCCATCCAGCGTGACCTTGATGCAGTTCTTGGCCACGTTCAGGGTGATCTTCTTGCCCTTGGGGCTTTTTATGCCCTTCGCCATGGCTTCTCAGTGAGGGAGCGAGTCCCAGGGACGCTGATCGGGTGGCACCCTTGATCTCTTGGAGGAAGAACTCACATAAAACTGCTGAGAAAAGAGGGAGAGCACACGGTTAGGAGATGGCCTGCGGGTCCTGCATGTCCCTCAGATCCTAGCACTCTGCTCTGTAGGGGAGTGAACTAGAGAGGAATCAGACCATGAGCAGAAGCAGCGCGGCTGCCGAGCAGCAGGGGGCAGGTCAGAAAAAGTGCACTTGAACCAAGCCAGCCTCGGAGAGACAGGCACCAAACCAGCTTCCTCGTAAGTGGGATCCAGGCCATGACCTCCTCCTCTATGTCAGTAGGAGAACAGTGCTCGCAGAGCGTGGGGAGCAGGCAGGGGGAGGGGTCGGCCAAGGCACACATCACCAGAGTTGGACAGCGGACAAGATTTGGGGTGTCCTCACCATAAAGGAACTATGAAGGGTGGAAGCGATAGGTCTGCTAATCGCCCTGAGCCCGAGGTACAGGTGCACCAACACATTGCACAGAGCCTTACGGCTATGTAAAGATTGCAGATCCGTCAAATGATGCTTAAATAAATATAGAAGACGAAAGAGGTCCAGGAAGCCTAGGACCTGATCTTCAGCTTGTCAATGACTTCTTCCCAGGACAGAGTTGCCAGGCTTTGCAAATCCAATGACAGAATCACCCGTTAAATCTGAGCTTCCACTGAACCCCAGAATATGAGTCCCAAACACTACATGGTCCCACCTTGCAGTTGGCAGTCCTTCCCCACGGACCTAAACAAACAGTAAATATACTTTGCTTTGTAGAAAAAAATGGATGAAAAAGTAAATTTATTTGGATGCAAAAAAAAAAAACTTGCAAGTTCATGCATAGTTTTTCCATCATATGCATTTTGCACAAACTTTTGGAAAGACCCCTCATGCTTTCAGATAAAATTCATCCAAGGCAGGCCAAACACACCAAGTGTAAGGGAGAGGGCTCTGGCAGGTCCAGCCTGTTGGGCCCAGCTTAGCCCACTCCCCACACGCCCACCCCCACAGTGAGAAGAAGCCCTCCTGCTCTGACTGATGGTGGCGAGGAAGCTGTGTGGCACTGACCTCACAGCACTGCCCCACTTAGGAGCCCCTGTCAACTGCCTTTTGGCCTAGAGCCTGCCCATTGCCCTTAAGGCAAATTAGGGTACTGTGGCTGGGGTGATGTACCTCACCTCCTACCCAGTGAGTCTGGGACCTCAGACAGCACAAGGCACCCCCACCTTCCCCTGGCTGGGACCCCTGCTCTCAACTCTGCAAGCAGAGTGACCATCCCGACCCCATGAGCCAGCAAGCACCACTAGAAGGAACATCTCTTCTGTTCCTTCCTGGGACCAGCAACCTACCCAGGCCCACTGAGCAGAACTGCGAATCAGCCGGTCTACGGATGCACTCAGACTGCTTGGATGACTTTTTGCTATTAGTGCATAGAGGGCCAGAGTGCCACAGTGGGGAAACACCCACACAGGAGAAGCTGGCAGCTATGGGGAGAAGCAGATGTCACCAGATACATGGAAACAAGCAGACTGCAAAAGAGCTCATGAAAAATGGAATGAAGGCATGAGTTTATTTTGGTGCAGGAATTTTCAAAATCCATGTAAATGAGATATCTTGAAAAAGTCCACAAAGTGTGTCTTATGGAAAACAAACTATGCATGGATTTCAAATTTTTTTTGCCCCCCCTAAATAAACTTATCCTTGAACTCTCATTTTCCACAGCTTTCTGCAAGTCCCCTTGTACATGGTGGCCTGGTATGGGTGGGGTCTCAGCATCTCCCAGAACTTCATTGACTGAAACATAAACTTGATTGCAAGGTGTTAAGAGGGTGGAAAATGTCGTGTCACTGTGGTATTTAGAGATGGAGCCCTGGCACGTGATCAGGATTAGTTAAGGTCATTAGGGGAGGGAGCCCCCATAACTGACCCCTGGGGACTTGGTAGGAAGCGGGAGAGAGACCAGACACACTCATCTACACATGTGCTCCCTGCCTGTTGCTGTGTGGTACCGTGATCTGTCTCGGGGCTCTGCCAATGAGACAGCCACTGCCACATAAGCATCATTGAACTTTCAGAACTGGGAGCTAAATAAGCCTCTTTTCTCCCTAAGTAGCCCAGCTTGGGTATTTCATCCCAGGTGGATAAGCTGAATGATACAGTTGAGTGGATGGATGAGTTGCATTTCACATGAACAGCTTAGAATCCCAACTATTAGAGATGCCTAAATGTATTATCTCTTTCTGTCTTCTATTGTTTGTTTTTATTCTTTGGGAAAAAAAAGTAGACCAATTGGTTTGACTTTAATTTCTAATTAATTTTTTATCTAGCCAATATGAATCAAACAGCATGGTAGGACACCCCGTGGATATCTAAATTAAAAATGTAATGGCAATCTGTATTTTAATGCCATCAAAATATTTGCAAGCATTTTCTGTTGTAAGATCCTTAGCATCACTATGATACTAGAATCTATCTGGTGCTTCACCCTCAAGTGTCTTTGACTGCATTTTTTAAGGCTCGTTTTGTGTCTATATGTCTTGCCAACGTGATCTCACAATATTAAGATTTATTTTCTATTTATTTGAAAGTTAATACCTCTGTCATACATACATACACACACACACACACACACACACACACACACACACAGAGAGAGAGAGAATCTTCCATGTAACTAACATTGTGCCGCGTAGATGAGAACTACTTTTTGCTTGTCTCTCTTTCTCTCTCTCTCTCTCTCAAAATTATTGAGAAGCAGAAGAACTGAGGCAGAGAGAGAAAGAGAAAGAGGCATACTCCTATCTGCTGTTTCACTTCCCAGTGCCCACAACAGTTCTGTGCACCAAATGCAGGAGCCAGAAACTCCATCCAGGTCTCCCACGTGGGCGGCAGAGACCCAGTCACGTGAGCCGTCACTGCTGCCTTCCAGGGTCTGCATTGACTGGAAGCTGGAGACCGGAGAGAGAACTTGGAACTGAACCCAGGTATTCAGATATAGAAGGCAGGCATCCAGCCAGTGAGCTAAAGGCCCATCCCTGGGCCATCTCTTAAGAAGCCAAGATACAGGGGCCAGTGCTGTGGTGTAGTGGGCTAAAGCCTCTGCCTTTGGTGCCAACATTCCATATGGACACCAGTTTGAGTCCTGGCTGCTCCACTTCTGATCCAGCTCTCTGCTATGGCCTGGGAAAGCAGTAGAAGATGGCCCAAGTCCTTGGGCCCCTGCAGCTGTGTGGGAGACCCAGAAGAAGCTCCTGGCTCCTGGCTTCAGATTGGCCCAACTCTGGCTGCTGTGGCCATTTGAAGAGTGAACCAGCAGATGGAAGTCCTCTCTCTGTCTGTAACTCTACCTCTAAAAATCAATAAATAAAATATATTTTAAGTAGATAAAAAAGAACTAAATGTGTGCACAAAAAAGTTTTTAAAAAAAGAAGACATGATACAAATGTCTCAATAATTCAGGCATTCAAAAATGCAGGTGCTCCTTAAGTTGCTGTGGGGATACGTCTTGATAAACCCATCCTAGGTTGAAAACATCATGAATCAAAAACACATGGAGTCCACCTAACCTACAGGACGTCCTGGCTGAGCCACACAGCACAGTTGTAGGGCGTAGGTGTTTCTCCCGACGACCACAGGGCTGACGGAGCTGTGCTGGTTCCAATCAGAGAGCAAAGCCCTCTGTGCAGAACTGATCCAAATTCAAAATCCCAAGGACACCATCTGAAACAACCAAGAGACAGCCAAGAGAACAGCCGAAGCCAAGCCTAGACGTATGTGCGTGCTCCCCAAGCTTATGCATGGTCTGTCGATTCCACTGTGCTGCTTCTCCCTTCTCCGGCTCTGTAGCGAACACCGCATCCCTGGGGGCACACCACTGGCCCCCAAGAACATCAAGGGAAAGATTCCTTTCTGGAACCCTAGCACTCCCAGGCTGACAGCCACACTCACATCTGCAACAGAAAATCAAGCCACCCCTGCCCTGGTCCCCAAAAGGAACTGTTCCCATTTGGTCACCCGTGGGCATCTGATATAAAACCCACAAGTCCCGTGGAGTCCCTGGACCCTGCAGGACCAGCCCTGGCTTGGAGCCATTGTGACTTGTCATGGACTGGGAACCACGGGACACTCACAGGCAGGCTGCTTAAGGGCAGAGGGCTTGCACTCCACCTGCTGAAATAGGGGCCATCTGTGTGGCGAGTGAGGAGGAGGTGCAGTGTTAGGCCACCGTCCTAGCAGGGGTCAGTCATGGAGTTGTCCCACCGACCTCTTGGAGGGGCCCCATGCAAAGAGGGGATCCTGAAGAAACCGTTTCGGCTTGGTCTGTAGCCTGAACACCCCACCCAGGGGCTGGGACGTAAGATGCTCCTTTTCATAGACAAGTATTTGGACGTACGGGGCGTCTTCAGAGACTCCTGGAGAACGCACGCTATCTTTTCATTCCATTTTTCCAAGAACTCTGAAATCCCCCACATGTATCTAAATATATATAAGCATATGAATTTTAATGATATTGTAATGGCATTAATGGAGCCATTTGACTGTAAGAGCTTGGATGCTGGGAGAGAGAAAGAAACAGTTTAAAGGGCACACATAAATGCCCCAAGCCGGTTGACTTAATAGTCCCCATGTGGGCAGTGATGGGGACAGGGATTTGTGGCTCCTCGGCCTCTCTGGTGCCTGTGCTTCAACACAAGGACGGTCTTGCCACATGGAGAGTGACGACACGTGTGTGCGTGCAACACGGCCCTGGGACTTGAGCCACCTGCAGTCTCACCAAAGACCCAGCAACCGTTCCACCATGGAGGGCTGCTGGCTGCTCGGTGATGCTCCGAGGCTATGCATGGGTGCCAGGAGTCTGCTCTGTACCTCATGGACTCCCTTTTCAGATCTCGCGCCGGGTAGGTTGCACCTCTGCTTCTCCCAAGCACAGGCTGTCCCCATGCATAGATCCGAGGACACTCTCTCTCCACCCTGCCCTTCTCACCCATCCCACAGACAGCTTCACACCAGCCCTTGCTGCTGCTTCACACCTGTTTCAGCCCCAGAGTGA